AAATCTAGAGAAACATTTATTTCTATATTTTTTTTTTTACAAAAGGTATTGTATGTTAAATAGAAAGTTAAAAACTGTAGTATTAATAGCTGTCATACCATTGCTAAGACACTTTAAAGTAGATTTATTTTTTGAAGCAGTAGTAGGTAAAAGTGAAGAAGATGTTAGCAAAGCGAATTCATCCAACACTATTGCCTTCCCCAAAGAATCTTCCATCTTTCAACATATCCCTTAAAAATATAACTGAAACAGCCCAAACACAATATAGGTATCTGGATGAAATGTTAGCATTTGGCTAGAAGCCATTATTTTAACAAATGCCAGACATTTAATCTTTTCAATAAATAGGTACCTTTTTATTTTTTAAGAGTTTGTGCAGAAAAGGAAACAGAGAGAACATGCAACTCACAGCAGCATTTCTAAAGCTTAAGAATGTATGAACTTAACGTTTGGTCTTGTTTGGTTTTTGTTTGTCTTAGAAAAAAATTATTTTCTTTTTGGGTTCTGTTTCTGGGTTTTTTTTTGTTCCGCCAGAAAACCCAACCATTCTGACCCGGCTTGCACTCAGTGAAACCCCACTGAGAAATGCATTTCTACCTGCTAATTTTAACTTTTTTTTCCCCTCTCCATGAATTTCAAGTCTCTGTAAGATCCATGAGATGTCTGTGCATCAGAGCAGTGTCAAAATCATCAGTAAAAAGTAGTGTTCTTCTTAACTACTGCTCCATTTCTGTTTAGCAAACAGATTTTCCCCCTCTCTTGCCAAAGGAGAGCCAGAACACTGGCACTATGCTTCACTCATAATCCCAGCAGAGTAAGTGTTACCCAGCACTGACTCAGCACAAATGCCTCTATGAAAAGTGCCCTTGCCCATCTGCAGCTTATATTCCTTAAAGGTGGCTGGTGGAGATCCTGGGGGGTGGTTGGAAGTCAATGGGCAGAGGCCCAAAGACTTCCCAGAAGCTTTAGTGGGGATCTGCAGCATCCAGGTTTACAGTCTGTACTGACACAGGAAGTCCCTAGATCTGTTCAGTGCAAGCATTTTTTGATCAGTAATGATGTGAGAAGCCTGCAGTGCTAAGGACAGCACGTGGCCAAGTGCCTAGGACAGAACGAGTACCACCTCTGCCAAGCCAACCTCCTCTGAAGAGACTTCCTGCCCTGACAAATAGAGAAGCATAATCTCAGATCACCACCTTCATAGGAATGCCATAGGTTCATTCCCGCTTCTGGGAATTGTAGGACACATGGCATCTGCTGAGGCTGCCATCCCTCTACGAGTCCCTGCACAGGCAGCAGTACCCTGCATCTCTCTGCCTTGGACATCCCTAGGGCCTTATGGCTACTTCAGGACTAATGCTTGCTTGAAGCTGCTTCACTCCCACTGTTGGCAACACACATCATTGAGGTATGCACAATAAGCAGGAAATAAATATTATGTATGATCAGTCTGGGAAAATATTTTTTTTTCCACTGCAGTCTGAAGAATACTTTACATAGCAGGTTTTCATGACACCATAGAAAGGAAAAAATAAATCCAGTTGAAAATAATGGATAAAATGTAAACTATGCTTATACAAACGTCCTTCCTTTTTAAGGTTCACTTTCAACATTCCCTGTGAACGTAAGGGAATTTCAGCTGGGCACAATGAAAATTCCTTGCATACCATGTGCACGTTTTCTGGATGAAGCAGCTATTTTCCCACACACTTCTGTGGCAATGCTATTAACGTACTCACGATGCTTGGAAAGAACACATTCATAGTATTGCTTCATTTTAGAGTTTTAAAAAAAATAATCTGGAGTAAAATGCATGCTATTTAATTGTGCAAACATGTCATTTCTGAAATGTTAGACAAACAACCAGTTAGAGATAAAAAAGTGGGATTAGAATTTGAAGTCATACATATGGATTTTAACATTAACAAATCTGCTGTGAAAAGTCAGGTACATGCTCTGTTTGTGGGAGCAAATCTAAAAAGAACTCCTAAAACCAGTGATGAGATGCAACCGTATCTGCCAGTATATTTTTGGGTATAGGGATATGATCAAATTATTTGACTTTTTTTTTTCACTTTTAAAGAAGCCCAGTAGAAGTCGTATTATTTAAGAAGTTTGGAACATACTATTCTGAGGCTAGATATTTTTTTCCCCCTAATTTTACGAGCATCTTTGACGCACAATACATTGGAAACTAATATGAACTAATTTGTCTTTAATATCTCCCACACTAAGCACTATAGGAAGCAGAGTCCTTCTGCAATTGCTGGGGAAATTCCTTGTGAATTACAGGCTGCTTTCTCATTTAAGGTCATGTGATGAGGGAACACAGCTCCCTAAATAGTGAGGCTTTTGTTAGGCTATTCATCTCCTGCAGCAGCTCTTCTGAAAAACATGGTCAAAGGCAGAGGGAAACAAGTACCAAGCAAAGCCAGAGTTTCTCATGGATAGATTCCATCCCTAGAAACAAAGCCTCCTCCCAAGGATCCCGCTCTGTATGAGCTCCCCATGGGCCTTCTAAAAGCCTTGACCTGTCACATTAGCAGCAGCTCATTCTTTTTCACTAGCCTCCTCCACAATGCAGCACAACCATGAGGGAGATGCAAAGAAACTTTTTTTTTTTTTTTCCTTAAAACACTACTCTAGCTTTTTTTAACCTTAGGACAGCAAGCAGCTTACAGTGCATTTTGTCCTATGAGCCTGTGCTATTTGACCAGAGCATATTAAAGTTTAGGCAGGTATCTGATAGGGAAATACTGGCCGTGGCCCTTCACTGGCAGCACCGCAATGCTGACTAAGTGCTACAGAAGAAAAGTAGAAGCAGTGTGATGTGTCTGGAAGATGGGTGTTGTATCTCAAATCCTTCTCCCACAAAGAACCCAGCTCCATTGTCCTCTAACCACATAATTTAGCTCCCTCTAACACTGAAAAGTGATTTCTAAAGAAAGAACATTAGCTATCACTTCAGAAAATGCTCTACTGCTTTCAGGGCCATTACAGGAAATACCTCTGAGAAATCTTTTTTGCTAAAAAAACTCCTAAACAATCCCATTGTTTAAAGAAGATAATAACATCTTTTGTTATACACTCAGATATTCTCTGCTGAGCTTTTCAATTTGTTTTCTCTGTTAAGTGAAACAGATATTATTTCCTACTCACTTAAAAATACTAGCTAATTTTGACAAGGCCAACAGCAGCTAAACCTTTATCAAGCTTTTATCTTAATCCCACTGAAACAAATGGTTTCCAATCTGTTAATTTACACAGCAGGAAAATAGTTCTACATATTTTAAAAGAAAATGAAAGTTTAAGGTATACTTGATAGATTACAGAATTAATCTATGATAAGATACTGCAGTGGAGATACCAGTAAAAACAGGGTCAGTGTGACGAAACCCCTTTTTCTTTAAATGAGACGTTTTTTACCTGTATGGTAGAAAGCTCAAGGACTACTTTGAAAATTGCTATAGAAGTATTTGACAATCCAGTATACATTGGGTGTTGTTTGTTTGTTTATTTTACCAAGCCTTAGCATCTAAAGCTTTCATTACAATTTAATAAAAACCCCACTGTCTCTATATTCTTTTTCTTGACCCCTCACTTGATCAACCATGCAATAAATCAATTGGGTGAGCTGAACACCGTCATTTGTTCTGCATCTTGCTTTCCTTTCACATGTATACTCCTCAGATTTCAGTGGGAATTTGCAGAAGAAATACAAATATATACTAATTTCTAAAACTGCACATAAAGAGTTCCTGCTTTGTTTCTGAAACTCTTATTTATGACCAGTACAGATTAATATTTAGTTATCAGTAACTAATGTTGCTAAAATGATACCCCACATACTCTCTACTGAGGCAATTATTTTAATGAGCAAGACTCTAGTGCACTACATGTTGATCAGGTTTTTGTAGGGTTTTGGCAGGACAAAGTTAGTAAATCAAGCTGTTGGCTGACTCTTCCAACTAGCATACAACAGTAACATCTTCTGCCACTATAGCAGGGCTCAAGGGTAACAAAATGCTTCTGCTTGACCTTGTAGCTCAAATTCTGCTCTCAGATAATCTCATATTGGTCCCATTGTATTTGGAAGAATTTTGCTCATTTCTGAAGGCAGAATTTGATTCCACATTTATGAAGTCAATGAACGTGTTCCCTTGAAAATAAGACTACTGTTGTCCTCACCTTCTCCCAAATTGCAGGTTCTTTTCCACACCACACTGGGCATATTTTTCAATGCACAGTCACAAATTTTGACGTGGTTATGTAAGGATTTGCAAAATCTAAGCCTGTCAACTAATTTACATAGGAAAAAAAGAGCACGTGCATATTCAGACTTATATCTGACATTATACAAAAAGAACAAAGCCCTTATTTGGCAAAACTCTGACAAGTAGCTAGCAAACCAAACACAGTTCTGCTGTAATTTATCTGCTTGAAATGGAGTTAATGCTGCTGACTCCAAAGTTGAAGTCAGCTGGCAGCGATCATCATGTCGACTATGCTGTTGGACAGAGGAACTCTCTTGCTTTCTGTAACCACTCAGTTTCCAAATACCTTGAAATTAATATATACATTTTTATATTCAAACAAGTAAAAAAGCTAAACATTACTCTTTACCAGATATAAATTATCTTCAAGTGACATAACAACATATAAAAAACTATACATATATAATTTATCTGTGTGTGTGTGTGTGTGCATGCATGTACGTGCGTGCACACACAGCTATGCATCCACACCATCAATTAAGGACTCATTTAATCCAGTAACTTTTATTAAGTAATGAGGAGAAGCTAAGAGGCTAAAGCAGACATATCACTGAAATTTAGTCAACTGAGAGAACTAGAAAAGTACTATTTACTCTATTAAGAGCATTTGAATAGTTTTATCTATTGCTATAATATACAGCAATGTTAAAATTTCAGTCACAGCTTTTGTCCATTCTCACAGAGCACGTCAGTACTAGCTACAGGTAGAGTGAGATCAGTGCTTTGTCAGACCGGTTCATATCTACATTCTAGGCAATGACTAAATAAATTAGAATAAGCTAAAGTGCTACATCAACACTAATGTTCCTGAACAGTAGTAACGCACATTTCTCTTAAAAAAAAACAACAACAAAACCCAAACAAAACCCAGCAGCTATAATTTCAAACATAATCACATCATGTGAAAATGCTTAGATGTCAATTTGTTACAGTATTGGACAAAATGCATGACACAAACCCATATGACAACAGTCGTAACCTTTTAAAAGTCAAGCATGATGGAAACAGGCATTTGTAGAAAACCCACTGTCTTCAGAATTCACACTTGAAAGTTTCATTTAATCGTAACTTGCTGATGTCGATATCTATTTCCTCTGGTTTGTCACGTCTGTATGTTACTGTTCTTGTACAAACAGTAGGCAAAAACATCTTATCCTTGAAGGAGAAGATACAATTTTTATCAATAAATAGCTAACTTCTATGTGCAAGAAAAAGATTACTGAATATGATGGCTTTGAAATGCATTACCTTCTTTGTTGCAGATACTCTGTAATCAGCTGAAGATTTAATTTTATTGCTACTCCCCTGCAGAATTATCTGTCTGATGATAAGGACAACAAGCAACCCGATCAGAAAGGTAACTATAAAGATTATGGAAAATACTCTAAAGTAGCTTCGTCCAGAGAAACATTCTGTAATGAAAGGAAAACACAAGTGTGAAGTCTAACATACGGAACAGGCACATCGTTCAAACAGTTATACTTACCAGTGCATAGTAACATTATGTAAATGTAACATGAGCCTGATAAAAGCTAAAGGCAAATTACTTCAGGGAATTTAAGGGGAAAAGTTGCTATATGCAAGCTTTTGAGGTGGAGCATATCAAGAAAGGCAATTCTGATAGAGATCCACTGTAAAAAAATGGTGAAACTTTACTCCTTTAATCTACAGCACAAAGACTACAGCTTCACTGTGTGGGCCACTGTAAATTCTCTGTAAGTTGTGAGTTTACAGCTGAAATAGACAGGATGAATTGTTAGAAATGTATGCGACAAGATTACAGTGCAGATCATTGGCAAAATATGAAAGAAACTGTAGCGTCTTGAATTTTTGTCCAGAGCTCTCCTCACCTGTAAACCTCTCTCACACAGCAAGCTCTCCCTTAAGAATAATAAAGTTATGAGAAAAGTATTCACATATAGTTTTCTCAGTTATGAAGAACTATAAGATGAGATGTACAAAAAATGTGAAGTGACAAAAGATAACCATTTACTTGTATTTTTTGTTGCAGGGTAGATGGATTAAGCTTTACAAGATTTTTATCTAAAAACACTTTATTCTTCCACAGCTCTCATAACTGTGCAGTTAGTTTTTTGTACTTGAAAGGAATATTTAAACATCACTGAACCTAAGGTAAGCATTCTACTTCATTCTTCCTCGTTTCTGGTAATGTCAAATAATGTAAGCATATCCAAAGTAATAAAACATACAGATGCCATAACAGATTTTTATAAATATTTCTTTAAGCATTGCTCAGGCACAATTCATTATTATTAGATGTGAGTTCTCAAGGACTAGGGATGTGATTTAGCAATGCTTGACAATCACATTTCCTGTTATTATTTATCTTTTACTCTCCCTGAAGCTATGAGTGAATTTTCTCTTTTTCTTGCTTTCTTTCTTTGTTATTGTAATAATTGGACATACTTTTGAAAGACATTTTAAAGGCGGTGAATTCAATTATTAGTCCCAAAAGACTTTCATTTCCTATTAAAATTACCTAGAAAATAACACATACCTGAAGTTTGGTCAATATAATGCAGCACATAAGTGCATGAGGTTGTGCACTGGTCAAGTTTAGTTTGAGATGCATTGTTAGAATGATGGCACTCAACACAATTCCTGTAAAATAAACATGTAATTAAAAACCTACATCCTTCTCTGCAGTCCCCTTAAAAAGAATGTATCAACAGGCTGACATTTTGCTTGCACATAATGCTTTCCTGTCGTTAGTAAAAACATTACAACATTTTTTTTTATTCATTTTTTCTGAAATGGGATACTTCTCTCAGCATTTTATTCCTACGATGCTTCTCTGAACCAACTGGTCAGAAGTTGTAAAGTAAATCATGTCTTTGGCTCGGAGCCACTTTCATCTGGCCCCTGCTCTGCATTTTGTGATGCGCTTTTCAGGGAGGTACCTTAGGGTCCAGCACCCTTCCTTCAGCTATCAGCCTCCAGTTCAGTCCTACTCTTTTCTTGTCTATCAATCTCATTGGGATGCACACTGGAACTGAAGGCAAGAGACAGGTGTAGAAAACATAGTTTTGGAAATAGTTTTTGGATGATATGTTAAAACAAAGCCATGTTAAGTTCCCACTGCTGGGCAGTTCAGAGGGTCAGCAACACAGAGGGAGGCAGCACTTTCAGTCTTGCCATCTGCACTTTTCAGCTTTGCAGAAGATGGACATCACAAGGGATCCTGAAAACGCCCTGACTGAATTTTTTAAAAAACAATGTCATTGTCTGAATTTATTAAAGGCACACACCTCACAGTGACTTTGAACAAGTGTTAGCCAGCAAGGCTAACTGCTTTTTATCTAGTGAAGTCTTAGCAGTCACCTTTTCAAACATGGCCCAGCTGTCTCTCCAGTATATTCACCAGAGGGCCTATAATTCAAATGAATATGAATAAAAACGATTCTGTTTTGATGACAATTCCCTTTCCGACTAAAGGCTGATCTTTCACCTTCTTGGCCACAGTGGGATGTGCTGATGGGAGAGTGTAGAAAAGTCATGCCCAAAGACAGGGCTTCATGGACTCTTTAAGCCAGCACCATTTAGTGTGCCAGTGGCAGCTCTGACTAGCTTCTCTCCTACTCTGGCTGCTGATTTTTACCTTCACACTGTCCCTTCCTTTATGTGAATAAGTCAAAATGACACGCAGAGCAAAGACTAAAGTGGTTTAAAACATCATAATGGAGAATGGGGCTCCCTAGGTGAGACCAGCTCTGCTGACTGATGGCAGCGATGTGCAGGTACTGCTCTTGTTCCACACCTCCTCCTTTCAGCTGAGAATCATAGAATCTTGGGGGATGGAAGGGACCTCGAAAGATCATCTAGTCCAACCCCCCCTGCCAGAGCAGGGTCACCTAGAGTACATCACATAGGAATGCATCCAGGTGGGTTTTGAATGTCTCCAGTGAAGAAGACTCCACAACCTCCCTGGGCAGTCTGTTCCAGTGCTCTGTCACTCTCACAGTAAAAAATTTTTTTCGGATATTCACCTTGAACCTCCTATGCTCCAATTTACACCCATTACCCCTTGTCCTATCACTGGTCATCACTGAGAAAAGCCTAACTCCATCTCCCTGACACTCACCCCTTACATATTTGTAAACATTGATGAGGTCAAGCACAAACAGTGTGCAAAAACAAATGTGGAGAATATTATTTGACTTAGTGGCATTCAAGAGTAGGATCTATTGACCATTTTTAAAACTCTGAATTTATGGGCTTGATTTCCTACCCAGAAGATTTCTCTTGAAGAACCATCCTTTAATATATGAAAAAACATATTTTAGGACACACCTCCTTTGACTTGAGAAAGCTGACATTTGAACACAAACCAGTGAATAAATATACAGACATGCTATTCTTTTAATTGCCAGTGTGAACCCTTCAGATACATAGATGAAAGTATCAAGTATTAATTGTTTCAGTTTCCTACCGTCTGAATATCTAGAGAAACAGAGCAAGATATCCAGCCAAGCAGAAGTATTTCTCCTTGTTTCAACACTAGAGAGTTAAAAAGTCAAGTCTAGCACAAGAAACATACCAGTTTTCTTCACAGGCTTTGTTACAAGTAGGGCAATATTCACACAAACGGCCAAAGCTTCTTGGATCTGTGCATTCACACTTCCCACATACGCATTTTCCTCTTCCACTGCAAATCTGGCCCTTTGAATTCAGGCAGTACTTTCCTGATTGCAACGAGCACTGGCAACGGTCACCTTCCCAGCCAGCAAAGCATTTGCATTTACCAGCTTCACATTCACCATTACCTACAACATCAGATAACCCTGAGTCACGATCTTTTATGAAAACATAGAAAGGCAATTTTGAAATGCATATGTTTGTATTGCTGGTGCTTTACATTAAATACAGCTAATTTAGACCTTGGCTTGCTAATTATTTTTTCAGTTAACAATTTGGGCTGAAATTACATGATATGTATTTACAGCTGCTGCTTAAGTTGAGAAAAAGGTTCTACATGATGTCATCCTTTTCCCCATTGCTTTGGAACAAAGCAGTGGGGATTAAAAATTACAAAACTATCAGGAAAACAGTCTTCAGGCAAATTAAACAAACTTCTCTTTAGCAAGGAAGCATTCAATTCAAATAAACAGCAAGATTCAGTGGAGGAAGAAGTATCAAGTTAATGTGCACATGCCAGATTTTTTCTTTTCAGAAGCACACATGACAGCACTGCTTTTTTTCCTTCCTACAGGATAAATGGCTGAGCTGGGCAGGTGACTGTGCTGTGCTTATGGACTGTAGGTTCGTATGACTGCTTCATACGAACTTAAAATGCACAGACTTGAGGATTCAAAAGCTATGAACTACCTCTGGTGGCTCCTAAAATTTTTCAGGCAAAGCAGTGGGAGATTTAGGGCAAAATCTGTGTTTTCATGTTGCAGCACACTTAGGCAGGTGTATGAATGACATGCTGATAGTGTTTACCCACATTTTACAGCATGTGAGAGTACCTTTAGGAAACATAGAAATTGAAAGCACATACAGTATGGTTAGCAAATCTCATAAGGACTCTTCAACTATGCCTTGGCAGTACCTAAGTTTCACACAGACTGTGATGGCCCTTTTTGTCCTCCACAGATCCATAGAGCAGCTGCCAGGAGACAGTCCCATCTAATAGATGGGTTCCCCTACATGTGAGTGAGACCAAAGTATATGCTGCCTCTTTTTTTGCCTGGGCTGGGCAAAAAGGAGTGGGGAAGGAGATCATAGAACATCTCAGAGCAAGGCTCTGCACTGAAAAATATCCCATGAAAAGGCACACTGCTCAGCCATGGCCCTGGGCAGCAGGTTCCTCCTGCAATACTCTAGTACTCCATCAGGCGTGACAATCTCCAAGGCCTCTTACACAAAGATCTCCCTGTATCCTCTGCTGGCCAGAGCACCACATCTCAGGCTTTAGAAGCTTACAAGTCTGGAAGATCTGCTTATGGTTAAGCAATAGTAAATTTGCAAAGTGTGTTGGGAAGAAGAGTGAGAAGATGAACTGTAATTTGTTGTGTTGTAATGAAGTATTTAAAGAATTAGGTAATATTATTTATCTTTTTTTTACGTAAACTTCACAGTCACCAGCAGAGCTAAACCAAAATAACTTTACTGAAGTCCACAGTATTACTTTCAAATTATCCCACTGTATTTGAAAAAAATTGGTCCCTTAATTCACTTACTGGTCAGTATACTGTGAAATGAAAGGATGCAGGACAGCAGTACTTATTTTGATAATGAATAACTTCTGAGTGGGAAAAAATATTCTGGTAGAGATACAGAAATGATATTCTTTCTATTTCATTTCTCCGTAATAATTTTAAAAGGTACATGTTTTGTAGTTGTTACGTATTTTCCATTTGCATGCTTTCTTTAAAAACATAAAGTCAGCCACAAAAAGAACAAGGATATCTAACAAATCTCCTTGTTTATGTTTCAGTTCCACTGTCCTTTCCGGAAAAGGTGTTCTGAACAATGTCAGCATACGTTCATGAGTATTTGAAATAAAGTGTCACTGTATCTCTGACAAGACAGAGTTAGAGTGTTAGAAAATCAGAGCCTCATTTGGAAGTTATGCTTCCTCCTAATCTCTTGGTATCTCAGATTCCCATTAGATTGAAAAGTATCAACTTCCTTTCTGGAATAATGTTACTGTTTTCTCCAAGGTATAAGGATCATTATCTCTGAAGAAGCTGGAGATTTAAAACTTCAAATAGCTAAACTTGGAAAAAAACCCAACAATCAACCCCCTAAAAAGCAGTACTGACATTTAGAAGACAGTGCATACCTCTGTGGTGAACAGCAAGTTCAGGACATTTCCCACACTAATCCTGCACACACAATTCTTGTACTTGAGAGCCTTGTATCACCATTTTAAGCTACAACATGTATATAATATTTTGAAAACAAAAACTAAACCCAAACCATAGACACAAAAACAGCAGCTTACCAGAACATAAGTTACCCTGGTGATATGGGCAGGAAAAATCATCCATTTCACAGTACTTGCCATACACCTTGCCTAGCTTGCTTTTGTAGCAAAAACATTTCCCATCTATGCAATTGCCTTGACCACTGCAGATGGGTTGGTCCTGGTCTCGTTTGCACGTCTCAGAAGGAAGCGTAACGCTGCTGGAGCTACAGTTATTGTCACTGCACTGGGACTGCCTGCCATCAGAAAAAGTTTCATCAGTCCATACTCTTTTGTGCCTTGCACTGTCTCCATACTGACAGGCACAGCTTTCCTGCACGTGAACGATGGCAGTTTCATTGAAACCAATAGGCTTAAGGATTGCATATTTTCTTCCTCCAGTTGTATCACATCCTTTCATTGTAAGTGATACATTGAAAAGTACCTAAGAAGAAGACAGATTTTACATCATTATTATTTCCTAAAAATAGCTTAAAATTTTAAATGCATAAATAAAGCAGAATCTTACATTGTATATGAATGTGCAGTGACTATTAATAACAAGATATAGAGTGGCTATTTGTCAAATATGATATGTTAGTAATGACTGGCATCACAAATACAGTTAAAATCCTAACAATAGAAGACTAACAGCATTCTACTTTTCATGTTAAGAAAGCTAATTGTAGAAGACAAGTTCTATACAAGTTAAACGCTAATAGAATTACCATCGTCATCCTCCTGTTATTTCATGTGTACATTCTGTTATACTATAAAAATACTCAGATGAGAAGTGGGAATAGATTGAGCAAGACAATACACAAACAGGATCAGAGATATTTTTCATAAAAATAACCTACAATGAACACCCTGGCTGCAGAAATGGTCTGTGCAAATAGAAACCACAAAGGTTTTATGGATGGCCCTATCTGCTCCTACTAAAACGCAGAAATGTCTCACACCTTAGTATTAGCTTATTTTTTCCAATTCCTATAATGGGAATGGAGCAAGATAGTTTTCCTGCTTTTGCCATGGCCCTGGGCAGACCAAGTGCTGCTTCAGAGTGGACCCAGTGCCTAGCTCCTGGCTGTCATGGCCATTAGCACCATGCTTCAGGTCTTCACCCCAGTAGTGCCCACAGCAGCAGCAGCTCCCATGGCTTTCCAGAGTCCAGGCACAGGACTTACTACCAGATCTCTTTGCTCTGACATTTGTAATACTTTAACTAGATAACAATTTTGTATTTCATTATTTTTTTTTGCTGGCATTTTTTTTAACGAGTAGGCTTCTGACAGTGTGGGCTCACTAAGGCTACTTAGCCTGCTGATGGAAAACAATTCTTTCTTGCCTCCTCACAAAGAAAATATAACCAAGAGGAAAATCTTCAGGGTCCCTTCCAGCAAGGATGGTTCTATGAAAAGGCAAGAAATGAACCCAAGAGAAGCAAATATCTTTACTCTTTACCACTAAGGAACGAAGATTTCCAATGAAAAAAAGAGAAAAGCTAAGAAGCTGATTACATATGAAGTCGAAACTACCCGCAAAGACTGGGACCATTCATTTCTCATCACTGTCTCCCCCTCTTGCTGCGCACCCACACGAGAGCAGTTGAGCCCTTGGGGACAATGGTGGCTTTGTGGTAAGCAGGGCTGCGGCTGCCTACACAGACAACAGGAGAAGAATGCTCTGCATAAGCATGTGCTTCGTAATATCATATCGAGGGGGCACGCAGGCTTTGTCTCTTCCTTTGCTTTTCTTCTTTGCTGCTTCTTGCATTCTTCTCAAATGTGCCACTACACATATAACCCCTCAGCTGCCTACACTCTCCACACATGGTACTTCTTCCCTTCAGTTACAGGGCAAAAGTGGGGTTATGCATAAATTCATGTGGCAGGTGCATCTCATGAGGGGAGGACAGAATGCAGACAGAGAATGTGCTTTTATTCAACACAGAGCCCTGCTAGAAAACATCTTCTTCAAGCACAACACAGCACTGGAGCAACGGCAGGGAGATGGGAGGGAAGGACAAATCATATCTTGTGTACAAGTAATGAAATTCAATGGCTCTGAACACAGCAGCAGAAAGATGAAACATTGCAACTAAACAATTATGACAGTGTGAATACTGACACTTGCTAATAGCCAAAGTTAGTTTTGCACCCTGAAGAGGCTGTAGGATTCTCCCAGAATATAACACACTTTGTGTTTTGCTGAGAAAAGGAAGGAAGAAGGATTAGACAATGAAAGGAATGTGAGAATTAAGGAAAAACATTTTGCCTGTAAACAAATACTGAAAGGAGGATTTATGGTTAAAAGAAATTAATCTCTTGAGGATGGCTCATTTTCAACAGCAGCAGAGGTTTAGGACCACATGCAATCTTTTATAATCAACTGGCTTGGCTTTTTATTAAAAAGAAACAGATATAAATATTTTTCTTTTCATTAAACAGAACAAATTCCAGTCCTCTTTCTTATGACATGCAAAGGGAACAACACTGGAGAAGAGATGAGTTTAGAAGAAAAACAAAGCAAATCTCTCTTAAACTGTAGAAGCTAATCAGAAGCAAGTAATGCAGACAAAATTCAGAAGCATATAAAAAACATCTACATTAACATATTTAAAATTCACACATTGAATCTGCTGATTTGTTTTGCTATTTCTACACAGAGATGTAAGTAAAATCACACCAGCTGAGTTGTGTGTACATGTAAAGAAGGAAAGAACTCCTTGACCCTACTCTCCAGAAACACAGACCTCTTCCTGGCAAGCTAAATGAATTACTCTACTAGTCCAAGCAATTAAATAAAAGTATCAAGGCACAGAGAAGTTGTTCTGGGAAGAAAACCATGTTCTTTGTATTAGTCAGACGTCTTCCCCCACATTTTCATGGTGCATGATGCTCCAGTTCTACAATCCGTTTCATTCAGTAGGGTGGCACTGAACCAAAACCAGATAAATAATTTTATTAATGTGATGCATAAAATAATTATCCACAGCCCTGTGTGTGTGTGTGCATGAAGACTGCTAGAACAAGGAGCCAGAAAGGTGGCATCTCATACAGACCCAAGGAACACAAATGCCAGGGATTCCTTTCTACTGGGTGATTATCTTTCAGCCTCTTATGAACAGATTTCATCACATTGATGAACATGGCCATTGTGCCCCATGGAGGACAAAGGAGAGTTTTAATGGACTATAGCTTTCAGGAAAAGCTTTGAGCCTTAGTTCCATGAGATTAGCGAGAATTAAAATAAGACTCAGGAAAAATAAAACCAGGGAATAATAGAGTCTGTGATCATTAATCACATAAATCCATTTTCAGTTTAAGTAAATCCCTAGAAGTGTTCACACCATTGAAACCCAACCAAACAGAAAAACAAGCATTCTAGCTCCTTGAAAAACGAGAACTATCAACATACTTCTTCATTGGATCCCACATTCTTACATCCTTCCATGCCAGCTTTTTTACTTCCATCAGGACAGATTGCAGTGATATTGAAATGAAGACCTGGGATCCGGTTATCCACTTGAATTTTCACTTCAGAGATCAGTTTCTGTAACCAGAAAACAAGTTTTAGTTGCATTACATCTCAACATAGAATGTGCATTAGTGACTAGCTGCAAGTACTGCTACTATGTCTGACTAAAAACGAAGAAAGCTTGTCTGAGTGAACAAAGGAATGAATTAAAGCATTGTTTCCCACATAAAGACCCGATTACATTCCAAATGCACACAACCAGTGAGCTGGTAATTCTGATAAAGGGGATTATGTTTTCCTGATAAAAACTTTTCCAGCATCTCTAAAATGTTTTTGAGACTGCATTTTTATCAATTTGAGAATCTTTTCCAAGAACTGGTGCACAAAAAAAGCTGCTTACTGTTTGAGAGACTACACTGCCTTTTAGCGACATATTTAAACTAAAACTGTAAACATACCTATAACTATTGTTATCCAGTAGAAAAGGTTCTTAATTGAGTTTACACTTTAAAAAATTCTGATATTTTGCATCTGTCTTGAAAAGTTACCTCTGAACAAATCTTAGGGTGATCTAAAGGCTATTGGGATTACTCTTTCTCATTTATTTGGGTCAGCTAGGACTATATAAGTCACCTTGATTGATACCCATTGTGACTTTTTGGAAAATAAAATAATGAAAAAGCCAGCTACTTTGAAACTTGCATTTACTGCATGCTCTAAAAACCTATGGCTGTCCAAGAAAGAATACTGCTTCTTGACTTTTAAAAATGTATGAAAGTTCTGTACAAAATGATGAGGTGAAAACTACTCATAGAGATTACTGAAATTCCTGTCATGTTTGTTTTGAAAAAAAATTACTTTAATGGAATATTTTTCTGCTACAAATGGGAATTTAATTACACGAATCTGAACACATGGCTATATTAGTAACTTTTGAAAGTTAAGTGACTCATCTTTGGCTTTTTAGCCAGGGATTTCCAGCCAGGATTTTCCACAACTAAGCCTAAGGTTTCCTGCTTAGAACAAGAAAGCAAGATGCCCACTGTCATCAAACATCAACACTAAATTTATTTTCTAATCTAAGTACTTTTGCTTTCAAGAAAGTAAAACATTTAAGCCCTTTTCACTGGTTCTTTTTATATTAGAAGTGCATAAAACTAAGATAGAAATCTCAAAGTATCAAAGCCAATGCAATTTAGGGTGGGAAGGAAGATACTTTCTAAAAAATGAAAATAAAGCATGAACAAACTGGGGGTGGCTGGAACAGGAAAGTCCCATAGAATCTTCCATAGAACTAAATGATTATTTTGTAAATTTTTGTTTCCTCTCTTAGAATATTTGTCCTGCATTGTGCTCTAAAAACTGGGATACAATTTAGGATGGACAGTGTAAAAGTGGCATACAAAAGGACCCTGATCTTCAAAATTTTTTTGCCAGCAATTCCTGTGAAACTTCATATTCAAAATGAGATTTCTTGATTTTGTAGGAGAAAGTACAGGACGAGGAAGAACTTCTCTGCAGTTCAGTTATACCTAATTTCCTCTGCTTTTTTAATGTCTTTGCCTTCTGCACAATGTTTTCAACCTGACAGTGAGAAAAAAGTGCCCAAATCCACTCTATTAACTAGAAAGAGAAATAGGACTTGGGTGATCGTTTTAGCCGATTTGCTGAAAACAAACAGCCTGATTTAGATAGTTAACCTAGTACAACAGATCATTTCAGCCTCCCATGTGAAATTAATTAAAAGTATGTGATACATTTTGATGCCTTGCATATAGCTTTGCCACTGATTTTTCAGCTTTTGTAACTTGCATGTTTGTGTAACTTGCATACCTTAACCGCGTTCAACCATCTAACCCATCATGTTCATTTTGCTGCTGCTGCTGCTGCTGTACGGGCTCCCTTTGCTCTGTGACATCAAATGTGTATCAAAGCTGTTTATGCCGCCGCTTCCCAGACTGTCTTTCATTCACTATCAAGATGCCAATTTCCACTTTCAAGCTGCCATTCCCTGTGAAATCCATTTGTGAAAAATGACTTCATGTTCTTTCCCCCACTATTACTTTCTCTTTCCCATACTGTTACTTTCAGTAATCTCTTCTTCACTCCCATCCCTCAAAATCTGAGTCATTATACTGCTCTGTGCTGTGTCAATACAGCTTTCCACAGTGTCTGCTGTTGTCAAACTACCTCCTTGTAAATTCCCCATATTGTCCCTCTGCTAAGAATTGTGCTGTAAAACCCTCTAGGTATTTTTTTCTCTGAATATGGTGCTCTCTGTATATGGTGCTGAGATAGTGGTGTCTGGTCTGTAACTAAAGATCAGAGATGTAAAAATGCAAGTAAGTCAGATGTTTCTTTTGGACGTATATGGCAACAGGTGCAGAGAATCAACCAGCATATTTAGGACCATCCTTAGAAAAGCAAAAGTGCTAGTTCTTGTGTTTGAAACCCTGACAGCCTGAGAATTTGAGAGCTATCATGGGACAGTGTCACCCACAAACATGGACATTCAGAAAAGTAGGGAACTTATCTTTATGGACTTCAGATAGGAACAAGATCTGGGAAATTCCAACTTTAGGCAATGAAAGGCGAAAATTCCCTGCACAAATATGGCATACAACATCATCACTCCCATCATACCTGGTATGCTTCTACCACCAAATCATTGAGATTTGCTGCTTGTGATTCTATCTGTCTTGCAACAGTACCAGGCAACAGAGGTAACAGATCCTGTGAAAAAATACAATTATTTATGCAGTTTTAATTTTTAATATAAATATTGTGCTTTCAAATTTGGAAAAATAAATCAGGTTTCTAACCTACTTTATACCAATGGAACTGGCTTCCTTGAACTGCAAAAATAACATTGATGTTATTGTCAATCAGTTTTTCAGAGAGCTGCCCAAGAGTTGGATGCTCCTGCAAAATACAACAGAAAAGAGAAGTCTGTAGAGAAAAATCTTACACTTAATGTATGACACAACCACCCTGATCATTTTTTCTAAATGTGCAGAGCAATGCTAGGCCTACATCCAAAAGAAGATGGGGCCAATCAAATACAAAGACCATGAGAGAAAAAAATCATCAGGGCATCAGCCAGGCTGTGACAGGCTTATCTGTTGTCAGCTGTGCGGTGGTGCTGCACAGCGGAAGGAGTATCTCATACAATACAATACCATTGTGTTGGTTTGAGTCTGATGCTTCAAATAAATTGATATGATCTTTTCCATGGTCTATCCAGAAGAATAACAGGATTTGTGGGAATGACAGTGGGTTCTTGTGCAAAAGTTAGGGAGAAAGTGCAACATGAAGGCACTAAGATGAGGTGTGCTTTGGGGAGCAGCAAGGAGAGTCGTTACAAGTTTGTTTCTCAGAAATACATTTTGGCACCAAGAATCAGACACATCAGCTAAATGCAGCTACTGGGTCAGATTCTAGCAATATGAATATTCTGTATATATCTCAATTACAGCCGACAGCTTCCTCCATCTCAGTATGTCCAAGACCTGCCTTAGGAGTGATGTTTCCAGTCCTCACTGTGATGACCTTCTACATTTTCTTAGTCACAATTTTGCTTGAAGAAGGTAGAAGGAGTTTCATGTCTCTCCCCAGTAGTGATATTGCTCTTACCTGGTGAAGTACCTACAATGGCATGTTCTGTGCCAGTGACCTGCCCTTCTACACCTCTCACTGGGAGATCTGACATGGACTTGAGAACAAGAGATGCATTGCTGTCCCTTCATTCAAGATCTGGAGAAGCACAAGGGTGTCTGTGTGGTCCCAGTGGGCTGCTTTGTACCCCTGGGCTATGTGAGATCTTTCCCACTTCAGTACTCTAAAACAAACTGTAATTGGAAAGTTACTGCTTATTAATCATACATCTGTGAATACCTCTCAAGAAGTAAATTCAGCATTTAAAATTCATGACTAAACATAGAAAAGTGACTGGGGCCTTGGCCTGTGTTTTCTATTACAGAGATTTCATCTGGACACGTCCACTTATGTCAAGTTCTTCAACCCTTTTCCCCCATATACTTCTGCTGTTTTTCTCTTCCTGGTATTTTCCACTATCTGCCCCATATTGTCTCTTTCTTGTACAAACACACTCTCTTTCCTTGCATAATTAATTTCTCCTTACAGTGCCACTTGTTACTCAAGGCACCCTGCAAGTCAATCACTCTCCTAGCAGTAATCTGAATGCCAAGACAGCTGAGACAAAGTTATGCACAGGGCCAAAATCCAATTTCCATCATATCACACCACTATAAAGGGCCTTGTGCAAGAAGAACAAAGGAGTTTCTTGCTGCAGTTTGATCTTAGCCAGTGTCCACAGCCCCCTCAACTCTTCTGCCCTTTGGTTAGAGATTATAACTCTTAAAATGAGTACTGAAAGGTAGGTAACATGGTAATAAATAGGCCTTCTTACAGCTCCAGCTGGGGAGTGTACCACACCTGAGGGTTTGGCCAGCGTGAGTTCTTACCACACAACACAGCTGCAGTTGAACTGCAGCAGAAGTGTCCTCGCTGCTACTCTCAACAGCCTGCAACATGGTACCACAGCCTCCTGCCTTCTCCATGACCACAGACCACAGACCACAGTGGTGGGGCTTCTCATGTGCTGCACAACCCTACAGGCCACATGCAACTGTCTGGCAGATCACAGACACACCATGTGTTCCCAGGACACAGGCAAGCAAAGTCAGGTGTTCTGCAAATACCACCTCCTGCACTGTACATGTCTGAAAGATGGGGGTAATGTGGAGGGATCAAGTTGGTCTCCTACTCAACATGTGACACTAGACCTGTCCAAATTCCAGCCAAGTGGCTCTTCAATATCTCTGCAACTAATGACAACACTCTGGGATCAGTGGTATCAGAAATGGGTTTCCAAGCCCTCATGAAACATAAAATTATTCAGATGGAGCTTACTGAAGTAAACACACAACATGTATAGACATTCAAGCGTTGCAGGGACTGTAACCCCAAACTACATAGTCTGCTTACAAGTAAAGCTGAACTTCATCTTCTTGTTAGTTCTACCTCACTAGAGTGACCAGCTTGGCTAGTTCTACATTAAAGTCTCACTTCAGATTAGAAAGAAAAAAAAGATTTTTATTAAAAGAGACTAAAAAAAAAAAAAAAAAAAAAAAAAAGGCGTCAACTAACCCTCATTATCTTTTTCATTTTAAGCATGTAGAGAGATGACATAAGGAACTGTTGGTCACTCAGGGAGCCTCACTTTGCTTGCTGTAAAAACCTTGCTGTACTTCACGTACTTTAATCTTATCTCTTCCCGCTACTGGTCAGGCAAGCATACTTTCATTTTAGGTCATCCTTCTTGTTCCAGTTACATCATTCATTTTATTATTTTAACCTACTGTGTTGAACTGAGAAGATAACTAATACATATGTTAACTATTTCAGAAAGGGGGTTAACCAAGCACAGTTGTAATTAAAATGGACTAGATATCTTTCCTGTCTTATGCTTTTTTGCTGACCTCTGTGAGACTGCTTAGTAAAACTCAGGAAGAAACAGGCAGAAGAGTGACTAACTGGTAACACTTCTGACATAAAGGTTAAGCTTAAGCAAATAAATACAGCAAAGTCCTCTTAACTGGCACAAGGAGAAAATAAAATTTGCCAAAATGTAATCTTCTCACAACTACTAGAAGCTAAGAATCAAAGTAGGAAAGCAACTAGATTACAGATGGCTCTTTTAATTTATCATAGCACAACAGAAGCGCATTGATGAGGAAAAACAACAACAACAACAACAAAGGCTTCATATTTTAAAAAGCTGTTGGCCTTTAATGGCACTTCATTTAAATATCAAGTAGTGTTTTTTTTCTGATTTTACTTGTTAATTTGAAATTTCTTTATGGATCTTTAATTTTGTCTGCAAGGCTTCCTAGCTGAAACAGAAGTTAACTTGGACAGAAAACAACTATAGTTCTATAGTTTTTTGGTTTGTGTTTTTTGTTTGGGATTTTTTTGGTGGGTTTTGTTTGTTTGTTGTATTGTGGGGGTGTTTTTGGTTTTGTTTTTCTGAAGGGGACAATACCTTTATTAGCAAAGGAATCACAAACTCCAGAATAATATTTGTACCCTCAGCAATTGTTAATTAGCAGAGCAAAATTCCTCTCATTTAAAGCACTGAAATTAGGAAAATAAAAAAATAATGAAAGAAAAATAGAGAGAGGGATTCTGTAACTTGTAAGCATGCTCTGCTTTGGGAAAGGAAAGTTCAGGAATTATTTTGTTTAAGTAGAATAAAGGAAGGAGTTGTTTTTACTCCAGGGACGCTGTAGAAATACTGAAAATGAACAGACTGGCTAGAGGGAAATAAATGATTCTGACATCTGTGAGGGAATATCCAAGAGGTGACAGAGTATATAAATGAAAGAACATCAGATAATCGGAAATCCAAACAACCTCCCTGTTAGCACACACTCAGCTCCCTCCTCCGCTCAGCAAGGTCCTGAACACCCACCAATTCCCAGAAACCTCCCATATTTCATGATCACACACCATACGGTGTCTGCTTCCTGCTGCCCCACCATCCTTGTAAACACCAGTTGCTGGAATTAAATTCAGGTCTAGCCTGACTTACACATACCCCTCTCTGACTTCACTATCACATTTCTGGCTTGGGCTGAGCACAGACCATATACTTTAACTAAGTGCAGTTAGCATTGAGAATAAAACTGTAACGTGATCTAATTATACTAGAGTTCATTTTCTGTTTTCTGGCGATTATGTGGAAAGTAGAAATTCATGTTTCCTAAATAAATTATTCATATTTATTTAAGGAAATAGCCAAAGCAATTAAAACCTACAAATCTTAGGAAAAAAACCACCTGTATTCAATCACTCATTACTACTTCATAAGTAATTTAAGAAATTACTTTGAAAGCTAAAAATATCTGCTGAAAGCACATTATTTCACTACAGCAGATTTGACATTGCTGTTTTGCAGCATTGCTGTTATGCAGTTTGACATTGCTGCTTTGGAGGCAGAATGCATGACATATACCTTACCATACTCGTAGCTTTGATGTACACATTATCTTTCAAATGACAGTTTCCATCATGGGGAATTACAATCCCTGCCAATTTACTGTCAAGGGCCAGATGGGAAGTTTGGTCTGTCATCACAAGAAGCAGTCGCTTTGCTTCCTTACGCCATCCAATATGGCTCTAAAATAAAATTAAGAAATAAGAAATAAGAAAACAGTAACTATCTACTTCCTAAAATAATAAGTAACAACATGAAAAAAGAATGTGAAAGTCTAGTTTCAGATATTACGCTGTTCAGCAGCACTGACTTTAAACCAGGCTTTTAAAGCATTTTGTAAGGAAAAATATACCATGTACTACATCTGAAACTACTTTGGCAAGTCAGAGATCTACTTAATACTTTCTTTGCTTTTTGAAAAAAATAAAATTGAAAATATGTAAAAGTTATGCTTTATGTATGGCCTTGGGTAGCAGCTGCTACACTGTGTCATTATTACACACAAATGCAAATGCATAGCATTTATGTAACTTTTGGGATCCAAAAAGCATAACAACCAACACATTCATTCATATTGGTACTTGGTGCCCTCCTCGATTTTTAGTTTATGTTTATTTACTTTATATTCTCATAATTCTGTAATTTCCTTTTCCTATAATTTCCCAGGAAAAGACACTGACATGTGATCAACCAATAAAATAAAGTTTGAGTGTCTTAATGAGCCTGCAAACTGAGAAATTCCCTTCTCATGCTCACTCCCTTAGTGGTCGTAGGAGTCAATAATCACTTTGTCACCTCCTGACTCCTACCTACATAGATCATGTTAACCAAAAATTTAAAGAATCTTAATGTCCTAACCTCCTAGTACTTGCAACAGGGATGTATTGGTTAAAGCAAGATGGAGCAAGTTATAAAGTTCTGTTGTAGTCAAAATGAGTGCACACTAACGTAAATTATAGTCCATTATGGTGGTTATGAATTGCACATTGTTCTCATGCATTTTGGTTCACAATTCAATTAGTTAGCAGGAAAGCCTCCTCATTCTCATGACTGTTTCCATTCTATTGTCTTAGGAAGCATATATTATTCTAGAGCTCACTTGTCGTAATTGTGGAATGTGTCCAATGTGAAACACTGATTTTAAGGAATTTTTCCAAAGCTTCCAAACAATATTTTATAACAGCTATGATCAAAGAGTCTGCAAAGAGCAGCTTTTATTTACCTGTTTTACAGCTCATCAAAATAAAATGAATAAAATAAAACTGGTGCCAAAGTATTGATTTTTAACATAGTTTGGTTTCCTTTTTGGCCTTTATTAATTCTAGTGCTCCAAAATAGAACATGAAGACGTAAAAGATAAAGGATTGTCCTGATGTCATCCCAAGAGATAAGAAGCACACCAAGCCTGGGATTTCGACAGCAGTTGAATCACTTTCATTAAAAACACCAGAAAGA